CAATAAATTCAGTCTCTGTTCTCACATGGCTTCGAGATTCCAGAAAACTTGACTTTAAAAAAAACATTTAAAAATAAATTTTGAAAACAATTTTTAAAGATGAGACCACCTTTATCATAAAGATTTTAAGAATTACATTAAAAACAGACAACAGAGGCTAGGCAAGTCTCTAAATGATGGCCTCTGAATACTGAGAGAATAGCAGAGATGTAGAAAGACAGTTCCTCTGTGATGAGTAAATATTGCTTCACAAGGAAGCATCCCCCATTCAGCATCCTCACCACTATATAATCTATGAAAGAGAGTTACTAACATCAGTGAGCCAGTAGGAGCCAAAACCTAAATTATTACTGTAGAGCCATAAAGAGACTTATGGGGAGTAGATCTACCTGTGTTTCCTTGTTTTCATATTGGGGATCAGGATACAAAATTGGAGAATTATTGCTAAGAAATTGTTAAAAATATGGTATTCATACTTCATTGTATTGCAGAAAGTATGAATAATTCCCCCCTCACATAAAACAATCACTCTCCCCTTTTTAAGTCCAAGTTTGAACAATGCAAATTACACTATCATCACTAATTGCAAATTTGTTATCACCAAAAAAAATGTTGCAATAAAGGCAACTTTCTGCTCATCAGAAATTATCTGCCATGTGGCTCTTTGTAGAGTTGTGTTCTTCTATCAAACCATTTAATCCACTTCCATTCCCCTCTGAAAATGGGTTCTGCAAATTGTTGCTTTATTTTTCAGGGAATACATGCCTAACCTTGATTATCATGCTATGTTCCTTGAGTCCAGAAAAATATTTTAATACAGACAAAGATTAGTGTGTTGCAGCCTAGCCCACCGCATATTGGAATAGATTGTACTATACATAGCAAGTAGTCAAGAGTGGTGTTATTGAAACAGAGCAAAAATTTTCCCCTTGTTATTTTGGGATATTTCAAAAACGTGCCTCTGAGCTCTAGCATGGGGCTTGATTAATGCATGATTTCCTCTTTAAAATTAGAAACAGGAATCGAGAATGAAGCTTAATAATTTTCATTTGCTCTTCTTTTCCAAGCATTCTAATTAAGGCCTGGTTCCCAGACCTGATTAAGCAGCTCCTACATCTGACTGCAGTTTTTAGTTATCCCTGCAAGGCAGGAACTCAAGCTTATTTTGAGTGAATGGGAACAATCTGGGAAGGAACAATGAGGTGGGATATGCTGTGAAAGGTCGGGGGTGGGGGCTGTTTGGTTTTGGTTTTGCTCTTGTAATTAGAGTTTGCCAAGTCCCTTGCAGAGTGCAACAACACAATTGAACAAATGTCAGAAACATCATTCTAAGTAAAGCACCATTTCTCTAGGACTCAGAGCATTCTGTCAAGAATATTCTAGTTTCCTTTGAATTCCTTGAGTGCAGTGGTACAAGAGCAGTACGTACTTATATATTTTATCTTAAGAAAATGTAAAAGATACATGTGTTATCACTATTCAATGTTCTTAATCTCTTGGGTTCACTGTAATCACAAAATAAATTTGACATAGATTTTTTTATAGCTTTCATGGAGCAAAAAAAAAAAAAAAAGGAATAAAAAAACAGTCATTGTCATGGCTCCTGGCCGGCTCAGTCAGTACGGCATGCAACTCTTGATGTCAGGGCTGTAAGCTCAAGCCCCATGCTGTAGAGGTTACTTAAAAAATAAAATCTAGTCACCTGGCCGATATGGATGGGGATCTGGGGGTGGCCCAGTCTCATAGAGGGCCCTCAGCTTAGGCCACACCACGCGTGAAACCCTCCAGATGGGGTCCTGGAGGTTTCTTGGATCCCAGACGAACCCCCAAATGTTGTGCCCAAGATTGCGAATCCAAGAAACCACGAAGGAGCCAACACCGATGCAAACACACAAGGGCCCATCTACAAGCTGGAGCTTGGGTCCAAGTGCACCAGACACAGCGGAGCAGGGATATCGGCCAGGTGACTGGGTGTACGTCTGGAGATACCAACACCGGACACTTCAACCTCGCTGGAAGGGACCTTACACCGTGACCCTGACCACTCCCACCGCTCTCAAGGTCGACGGGATTACTCCCTGGGTCCACTACACCCACGTCCGGCCAGCTGACCCACACGCCGTTCTCAAGAACTTTGTTCCAGAATGGAAAAGCCAATCAGACAAGGACAATCCCCTAAAGCTAAGACTGTGCCGTTCTCACTTATTTCACACCTCCAAGACTCCCTAATCTGAGGTTGTCCTTCAAAATAGAAGGGGATTAGACTTAGTCTTCTTACAACAAGGGGGTTATGTGTTGCCTTAAACGTGGAATGTTGCTTCGCCGATGGAATATAAATGGGAGCGAGAACAGCAACAAGGTTGGTTAGAATCCTGGTTTAATCATTCCCCCTGGCTCACTCTAAGAGCAACCTGGACCCATAATTGGGTCCTGCATAGGATCCTCTGAAAAAGGGGGGAATGTGGGACCCAGGAAATTTAACAAAAATCCCCCCTGGACAAGCAGAGCAGGACTGATTCCATTTTGTGCTACACCTGCCAACTCCTGTATGACCCCCACATGACCTGCTTACTGCTTAAGGCGCTGCCCCACCCTAGTCAAACTGCTGGGCACACCCTATATCGGAAATCAGCTCATAACCATGTAACCCTGCTTTGTGCCAGCCAAAACTGCGCACCGATTCTGACCAAAGTAATAGGCCACCTCAAATGGATACTATAGGGTAAAATGTAATTCAATCAGCCACCTGCGTGTGGACCCGCATGACTGTGCAACTTTCTGTGTATCCCATGGGCCGCTGGCCCCTATAAAGCTGCTATGCCTCTTAGTCTTGGGGTCCAAGTCCCTGCTCCGCTGTGTCGGGTACACTTGTAAATAAACCCTCGTGTGTTTGCATCAAAATAAATAAATAAATAAATAAATAAATAAATAAATAAATAAAAAAAATAAAAATAAAATAAAATAAAATAAAATAAAATAAAATAAAATAAAATAAAATAAAATAAAATAAAATAAAATAAAATAAAATAAAATAAAAAAATAAAATCTTAGGCAGCCCCGGTGGTGCAGCGGTTTAGCGCCGCCTGAACCCTGGGTGTGATCCGGGATCCTGGAGACCCCGAATCGAGTCCCACGTTGGGCTCCCTGCATGGAGCCTGCTTCTCTCTCTGCCTGTGTCTCTGCCTCTTTCTCTCTCTCTCTATGAATTAAAAAAAAAAAAAAAGACTACAATTTAAAAAAATAAATAAAATAAAATCTTAAAAAAATCAAAAAACAGTAATTGTCCAACATGAATTCTCTCAAAACTGTCTTTCTAATAGAAGATAATGTCCCTGAATTATTTCAGAATGTTAGTTTTTTAAATATTGAAAAGTTGCACTGTAATATAGCCAGTGGCCATTAAATGTTTCTGGCTAATATTTAGAAAATATATCCCTAAATTGTTCCTGGTATCAAATGGGTAAAAGTCAAAACTTCTCTTATGCAAATCATATAATCATGTATGAGTAGTCAACTATATAGATGTCCTCCCCACCCTCATTTTTTAAATGATTTTTTAGTTACCACAGCAGAGCCAGGCCATGAATGGAGTCCAAATCTGAGACACAGAGAGCTAGACTTTGTTTATACATTCTTGATCTATAGCTCATCTCTCTACAATCTACCTTTCTCCCTCCTAACTCAAATAACCTACTTGTCTCATCTTTGCAGGATAAAGTGAACTCATCCCAACCAGTCACTAAAATTGCAAATTCAATGTTTTAAAGAGTCCCTTCCTTGCCATCCCCATTGCCAAGAGTCCCTATCAGACCAATATCCCCTTAGGTTGTATTACCTCGATTGTTCTCAGTATTCTTTCTCTCCATGTCTACCTGCAAACTGGAGTCACATTGCTCTTCCTTAAACACCACTTCATTTACCTATTCTCCAGTTAAAAAATCTCAGCCACATCTATATCAATCATCAGAGACTTTTAAATCCTACATGCTGGCTGCCTCTGAGCCTCCCTTCCAAAACAGCCTTTCCCATTATTTGCTTACCCAAACCCTAGAAACACTTCAAATGACTGGTGGCTCTTATCAATTCCAATATAATAAGTCTGAAGTGGAGCCTGGGATTCTGCTGTGACATGGTTGCTGGTGGTATAGACTACATTTTGAAAAACAAAGATTTAGACAACTGTTCTCTTTTGTCATGGAAGCACTAACCTCTGGCTAGGGCTTATTGAAGGATCAGAAAAGAGAATTATATACAATAAAATATCTCATATCTGATTGAATCAAGGACATGGCAAATTTTAAGTTCTCTTCAAAAATTATATAGTAGTGCATTATTGCCTGATAACTGCATACATGTAAGCCACAAAATTATCTATATCCTATGGAAGTAAGGAAGCAAAAAGGAAAGAAAGAAAGCCCAATACTAACAACTGAAACTTCTAAAATAATTGTCCAATGTATTTATAAGCTACATTAAACCCAGATACTACTGCAAATAACATTTCCAAACTTTGTCTGAATACTGTACTTCTGGGCATCAAGCATTTATTTGCTTTTGCTCAGTCACTGCCTTCTCAACTGCAGTGATCCATGAGCTGGATTCTCTCCATTTGCTCCACTACCCAGAGTCCAAAACCTTTTAGCTAATGGCACTTCTTACCTCTTTAAATACGTGCAATCACTGGAAAAACTAAAATTATGCTTTTCAAAAAATCCTATAGGGCCAATGTTATAGAGTTATATGCTTTTATTTAAAGCACTCTTTTGTTTTAAGAGGTCCATGATTTCTACTTTGTTTCCTAAATTCAGTACTGACAGAAATTAATAACCCAAAAGAACAATCTTTGACATAGCACAGGAACAGCTCTTAATTACACTGGCTAGAAAAGTGGTGGAAAGTAAAACTAATCAAGATGACTGTTGTTTCAAATACAAAATTATTAAATACATAGTTTCAGTATTTTTTACTGAGTTCATATTCGTGATAAAAGTTTGAATCCTATGCTCATTCATTTGGGCTGCCAACATCCATCCAGACTGAGGATGACCTGGAAATTTGGTGGTCATGTGAGTCATGGTCATGGCCCCATCAACAAACACTGGAAGCACCCAGGAGGCCTGGGTGATGCTGGTGGCAGGCATCACCACAGGATCAACCTGGACAGATATCACCCAGCTTACTTTGGAAAAGTTGATATGAGACCTTACCACTCAAAGAGCTTCTGCCCAACTGTCAACCTTGATAAACTGTGGACTTTAGTAAGTAAGCAGACACGGGTCAATGCTGCCAAAAACAAGACTGGACCTGCTCCTATCCTTGATGTGGTGCGATTGGGGTACTACAAAGTTTTGGGAAAAGGAAAGCTCCCAAGAAAGCCTGTCACCATGAAGGTCAAATTCTTCAGTAGACAGACTCAGGAAAAAATTAAGGATGTAGGGTGAGGTCTGCATCCTAGAAGCTTGAAACCATGTTTTGGATGGAAGTTCATTAAATGCTAGCAAGTGCTTTTCAAGAAGAAGGAGAAGGAGAAGGAGAGAGAAGAAGAAGGAGAAGAAAAAGAAGAAGGAGAAGAAGAAGAAGAAGAATTATCTTAACTCTGGGCCACCTAAGAAAGTGTTTATTTTATGGAAGGTGGATTGGGCTGAATTTCAGTAGGTCTTCCACAACTATAGCTCAGTTTTTATACAATGGAAAATTATATAAATTTGATAAAGTAAGCATTTTCAAATAATGGGTACTAATTTTTTCCATGTGTACTATTGCATCTTTAAATAGACTGTAAATTTGTAAGCACCATCTGTTAGTTTTATAATAGATCCTCCTCAACCCCCAGGTAACTTGAATGCCATGTTACTTAATCCATGAGTGGACATGTCCTTCCGCAAGCTAATCAAAAACCTTACCTGAAATTGACATATGAACTTGAGAAGTTCTATTTCTACCAGGTTTGCTAATCTGAGAGAATGTGAATCTGGGCTTTATAGTACCCCAATACTTCCTGCCACTTAGAAAGAGTGTATGAATTCAAATGTGTGTGCTCATATGAGGCAGAAGAGAAGAACAGAGAATGGGAAGAATAACAGAATAGGTTGGGAGGTGAGAGGAGAGGAAAAGAGATTTGCCAGTACTGAGCTTTAGTCCCAACCAGTAGGGTCCTAACCCCTGAAACTCACCTTTTGAGCATGTCAACTACCCCCATCATCCTTTCCTAACTTAAGATACAACGAACTCCCTTATTTTGGTTAATCTGGTTTAAATCAAAGAGATATGATTAAGACACCACATCAATATATGACATGTTCAGTTCATTACTGTGGGTGGGGGTTGTTTATTAAATTGCTATTTTTTTCACCTGTTACATTCTGTTTGGGAGCACAGCACTGTGTGTTTGGATGCCCATCCTCTCTAGTTCTTCTCTAAAGGGTAATAAGTACCCAATTTTATGGATATAGTATCTTTCAGTTGAGAAAAATAAAGCTGGAATATTTTGGGGGCAACTGGGTGGCTCAGTGGTTGAGTATCTACCTTTGGCTCACATTGCGATCATGGGGAACTGGGATCAAGTCCCACAGTGGGCTCCCCACAGGAAGCCTGCTTCTTCCTCTGCCTATGTCTCTACCTCTCTCCATGTGTCTCTCATGAATAAATTAATAAAATATTTTAAAAAATAACTAGAATATCTTCAAAATATATAACAAAGATATAATCATTTTTCTGACTCTTTCTTTCGTACTGGATTCCAAAGTCAAGAGAAGAAAAGCTATCCTCCTTTTCCTCTTCCAGTTACTCCAGGTGCTGACAAGGTTTTGCCTGTATGGGACCCACAGCAATTAACAAGTCAATATATTTGTGTGCCAAAAAACACTCAAAGGTAGAGTCTTACCCAAGGTCACATAGAGCCCAACAAATTTATCCTGGAGACAATCTGGAAGATATACTTGTCAATTTTTCTGAGTCTTCCTGATGAAAGCCATAAACTCAGAATAAACAAGGATTCCCCAAATTGCTACACCTGAAGTGGCTGCAAAATTTAAGCCTATTTCCTTTTTGAAGAACGTGGCCTAACATAGACTCTGGGAGCAAAATCAGACTCCCTGAATAAATAGAAGAGAAGCAGTGGAGAACAGTGGGGCCCTTAACCCAAGAAATTGAAACTCTTGTTGGAAAAGCAAGCCTACTCCATGAGAAAAGTTTGTTGTTGTTGTTGTTGTTGTTGTTTTTAAAACCATGGTAGTTGTCCCTAAAACATGTCTCCAAAATATGAATCAGATTATCTCTCTCAGCTTTCCCTGAGAAGCACAGGGTAATGAATTTAAAGTACCCTCCCATGGCACCTCTCTTCTTAGCAACTCTACAAACTTGGGCCAGTCTCAATAGATGGAGTCATGTCTGCACATCTTTATCCTCATTCTCCCTGAGAGAGAAGCTTTTCATCGAATCAGTCAAGGAGAGGAAAGAGTTGAGGCAGTGGAATTTTGCTGGCACAGACATCATGGTGTTTCTCCTCAAGAGCAGAGGCCCCGTCATTACAGCTCCCATGACTGCATCTCGCTCCCCCGTCATGCCAGTTCTCTCCTTACCTCTTGTCCTTGCACCACACAGCCACCTTCTCAGGTTAACCACAATCCTGCCTTCTGGAGTTGTCCTCCTTTGCTACAGTGAGAGGAGCTTTCTAAAACGCTTTAGGATTTTTTCCATCAAAGGAAGACAGTAAAAGACTGTTCTAATGTTTCACAAAAGACTCCCTCCTCCATCGTGCAGCAAATGTATACTTCAATCTCCACTGAGAGAAAACAGTATATTGTGATCCTTTTGTGTAGGGGCCCTTTACCTCTGCCCATTGGTAGCTGTGTGGCCTTAATATCTCTATGCCTCCATTTTCTCATATGTAAACTGAGAAAGCAGAAATACCACCAACAAGTAGTTATGATGACAATTAAATGAATCCATATATGTCAAGTTTAAACACGGCTTGTCACATAGGAAGTGGTCTCTCAGTGCACCTTCTCACTAGGGCTTCCTGCACTCTCCTGGTCACTGCTCTCTCTACTCTGCGCTCAGCACTTACTCCTTCTACACACACCAATGGGAGTTAAAATCCTTAGCTTGTCACTTCAATGGAAACTTACTATTTAACAGCTTAATGCCATTTTGGGAATTTGTGTTTGTTACAAAAACAAAATAAGATAAAAATTGACAGAGTTAAGAACTTCATCGTATCACAGATTTCAGTCCAGAATTTGGAAGGAAACTTTTAGTAATTTTCAAGTTGATATGATTAATACAATGTCAAAGTTTAATTTTTCTGAGTAAAAGAGGAAGGAGAGAAACAAGGAAGGAGAGAGAGAGGAAAGGAAGGAGGAGGAGGGCAGGGGAGGGGAGGGGAGGAAGAGGGAGGGCAGGGGAGGGGAAGGGAGGAAGAGGGAGGGCAGGGGAGGGGAGGAGAGAGGAGGGAAGGAGGCAGTAAAACCACTCTCAGGAAAATCATGAAATTACATCAAAATTCACTGTAAAACAATCCCATTTCATATCCTATTAAACTCCATAGGAAATGACATTTGCTACAGTAAGAAAAACAGATGGTGGAAAGAGAGAGGAAAATAAAATTCTTTGAAAACCGAGAATGAAAATGCCACTGCTAACACTTTGGGTCCCTCTGACGTGTTCATATATCAACTTATAGCCTCCAAGACAGTCACTTTCTTCATCATATGCATGCTTTCCAGCCTAAAATAGTCCCACGGGGCTTCTAAAGAAAGACGTGTGTGGTGTTGGGGATGTGTGTTTGTGTGAGGCTGCGAGTGAGTTTGTGAGTGGGGCCAGGACAGGGAACAGTGGGGGTCATTCAAGCCCACTAGACAGGCAACCCCAACCCGGGACGCTCTGCCAGCAGCAGAGTGATTCATCCGCCTTTCAGGCACAAGTACATCAAGCCCTCTGTTTTGCTCTTAGTTTCACATTTGTCCTCTTTAAACCAATGAGTCATAAGTTGGAAATATGTATGAAATAAGCAAGAAGAATATGTCACTGAGTTATTTCTGGTCGTTCAGTATACACATCCTAGGACATCGTGCATTTGAAAGGCAAATTTTTTAACGTGAGAGGTTTATACAAAGGAAACAGAATTGGTTCTGTAAGAAAAAAGGTCAGGTTCAAGAAGAAATGGAGCCTGGTAAAACAATTAAGTTTAGGTGAGAAGAATCAAATAGTTTCTTCATGTTCTTAAAAGGATAATTTTCTTCAGAGGAAATTGCATAAATTCTTAGTCCCTCGAATTAGCAGGGAAATAGCCTTGCCAAAGTTCAGTGCTGGAAAACAAATGACATTTGGTTTGTTGTGAAGCTGTCGCACCTCTCCACAGCAAAAAATGAGCCTGATTTGCAAACAGAATTCTTCTTTTATTGCCTTCCCAGCAAAATCTAATTACCTGGGAAACCAGAGGATTAAGTAATTGAGTTTTATCATGAGAAAATGGAAACCGGAAAGCAGCCATATAGAATGCCTAGCCTAGTAATACCAATGCAGGACTTTTCACTTACCCACTTGGTCAGCAGTTCCCTGTGGGGCCTATGCCACATGCCAGGTTGTAAGCACTCCAGGCACTGAGGACTTAGTGCACAGGCCGATGCTGCCCATTTCCCTGTGGGCCTTAGGTTCCATAGGTCAAGGTATTTAGCAAATTGTCATAGGAATAATATTTGTGACAGTCAGTGGTAAGAAGAGCAATCAAGGTGGGGGCCTTGCCTGTCTGGGTTTGGGGGGGCGGAAATATGTGATTGAGATGTGAAGATTTGAAATTGAGTCAAAATCAAGGAGTTGAAGGATGAGAAGATGCTGGCAAGAACATTCCAAGCAAAGAGAATATCATTGTCAGTTGCCAGAGCTGGAAGGAATGGGGTTTCTATGAAACTGGGAGAGGAGTGGTAAGGAGAACATGAAAAGGGAGAAATAGAGACACAAGTGTATGAAGCTGGAGAAGAATGGAGGTCACATGTGAAAAGCCTGCCAGGCCATGCTGAGGGCTGTGGACTCTTTCCAAAGATAATTACAAGTTACTGGAAGCAGTGGAGTGACACAATCAGATGTGCAGTTTTAAAGATAACAAGCATTTATGGAAGCAATTTGGTGGGGAGATAAGGAGGGAAAAGAGAAAAAAAAATGTTTAGGGGCTATTGTATGCCAACATCTTGATCCAAGATGATGGTTATGGAGACAGGAAATGTAAAAAAGATTGTGATAAAGTGAGAAGGTTCTGTCAATGAGATAGTGACTGTCTTCATGCCTGTGTAATACAGAACTGGATGAGAGAAGAGGAAGAGAGAGGTGGGGTCCATGAACCCTCTTCTGTGAAGTAAAGAAAAGGCTTCTGGGGGTGCCCGACTGGCTAAGTCAGAAGAGCTTGTGACTCTTGATCTCAGGGTTGTGAGTCCAAGCCCCATGT